TCATCTATTGATTGATCACTTGAATCATTTCATTCATTAAAGAAATCTTCATTCTTATATTTTTTATCTTTTAATTCTGTTTTAATTGATGATTCAGATGAATCAAATGGAATTTTATCATTTGAAGAAAATAAATCAAAATCATCTTTATTTTTATATAAATCATTATGTGTTGTTCATAAATGATTTTCAAATGTTGATTTTAATTTAAATGTTAATGAACAATGAATACATTTTTTATTAATAGTTGAACCATCTAATAATTGATTTGAATCAAATTTAATATTATCTTTTCTTTTTCTAGCTCGAGTATTTTGAAACCAAATTTGTACAACATGTTTTTTTAATTTAGTAGACAATGATACATCCTCTAACATTTTTCGTGATAGATTTGATCCAATTGAATATTTTGACATAAAATAATCGTGTTGTTGAAATAACATTATTGTTCAATTTCTTTTTTGATTATTTATATTTGATATTCTACGATTTTCATCACGTAAATCATTACTTTTATCATCTTCTATTCCATTACATGAATCTGACATATATGATGATGATATACTTGCTTTCGATTTTTGATTTGGTGATAAGCGATTTGTCGATACTGTTCCATATACTATAGATGTTGGAGTTACAGCTGTTGAACTCATACCAGTTCTCTTTTATTTTAAATAACAAGTAACGTTCATCGACCGTCGATTCACTTGGCCCTAGACTGACAGGCTAGCGATGCTGATATACTTGTTTATAGATGTAAACGGGGATCCACTGTGCTTGACTGTCTGTAACAAAACATGGTTATAGTGCCTATCTGATAGTTATGATTCAACCAATGGTGACGGAAGTTATATAGATTATCTACTCATTATAATTTTAATTAATCGACCAGTATTGGTTGAAAATAACGATCATTGTTTAATTATTTATTGTGATTAGATTATTGTTCAATGGTGTATCAGCGAGTAGGTGTTTTATCATTTTATCAATAAATTAGAATCTTTTAAGTGAGTGTGAACATAAAACTACGATAAACAAAAAACATATTCTTTAAATCATTTGATATAACTCTTTGTTTGGCCTGAAACTGCATCATTATAAGTGTTTTTTCGGATACATATTAATATCGGTACTCAACT